GATGCACTAGAAACTAATTTCGTATCTGATGTGATTTCTAATCTCAGACATTTATCATTGTTAAAATATTATAATCAGGCCAGGCATGGAGGCTCATGCCTGTAACCCCAGTGCTTTGGAGCCACAACAGGAAGACTGTTTGAGGCCAAGAATTCAAGACCAGCCTGGGCAACACAGTGAGACACCTGCCTCTGTCAAAAAACAATAAACAAAACCATAATCATCACCACCACCACCTTCAAAGCAACTTCTTGCGAGACTCAAGACACCCAAAATCGTGAATGGCACAGACCTGTGGCCTTCCTCAACCTGTTCAGGAGAGAAAACAAGGCCTCAGCACCCCAAGAGAGTGGTTCTCAAACTGCAGAATGCACCAAAATTATCTGGAGAGCTTGTAAAAAACAGATTTCTGGATGAGGCGCGGTGGCTCATGCCTGTAATCGCAGCACTTTGGGAGTCCAAGGCGGGTGGATCACAAGGTCAAGAGATTGAGATCATCTTAGCCAACATGGTAAAACCGTCTCTACTAAAAATACAAAAATTAGCTGGGTGTGGTGGTGCGCACCTGTAGTCCCAGCTACTGGAGAGGCTGAGGCGGGAGAATCGCTTGAACCTGGGAGGTGGAGGTTGCAGTGAGCCAAAATCATGCCATTGCACTCCAGCCTGGCAACAGAGCGAGACCCTGTCTCAAACAAAACAAAACAAAACAGATTTCTGGCCCCAAACCCAGAGTTTCTGATGTAGGTCTAAGGTAGGGCCCCAGAAAGTGCTCAGCTACAAGTTCCCAGACACTCAGGGCCACACTCTGAGAACCACTTCACAAAGGTTTCCTCTGTAATAAATGAACTTCTCCCCTCTGCATCTACAATGATACTGTCACATACATTCCTGGGGAGATTTTAGAAGAGTCACTCAATCACTTTCTGTGTTCTGTGGTTCAGATGAGGAACTCTGGTTTATAAAGGCTTGCCTAGAGTAAATTTTCTGCTAACAAGCGACTAGACTACTTAAAAATCTCCTCTTACCCTAGAATACTCAAGCAGACTTTCCCATTGCGGTAGAAGTTGGGGTTAAACCTCACTGTGTTATTGCCCGTTGTCATCAGTTTGACCCGAGGTGGGTGGATGGGATAGTCGGGCGGACACCGAAACACGAACAGGAAGAAACCCCCTTCATAAGGAGTGTCAAATGGGCCTGTGATCAATGCATGAATCTGCAAAATAAAACCCCATCTCAAAATTGTGAGGTGACGACCCACCCCAACCCCTCCTGGCTACCCTCCACCTGCTACCCACACCAGAAGCAGGGCCCATAATCTGGTACACGTTCTATATCCTCACCATGCAGAATGAACATCCTGTACTCACTTGTACTAATACGTAGGTTTGGAATTTTAAGAAATCTCATTAGAGTGGAATGATATCTTACTCACAGGTTACTTCCAAAGTTAGAGCCCAAGGTGAAAACTGAAACTAGTCAAAATCACCCCTGAATAGCCCCTAAAACTCTCTTAAAGCATGTTTTTTTTTTTTTTTGCTGCAGACCTCCCAGATCAGTGTTACATATAATAGATAAAATACCACTGTGCAAAAATATAATAAACAGCTATAAAATATAATCCTAGCATTTTTAATTTTAAGAAATCAACACAGATTTTGGCTGAATATATGTGTTTGGATTTGCCCAAGCCAAACATGCATATGATGCAACCCCACCCTACATTTATGTGACATGCAGGGAAAGTATGATGAAAGGAAATGAGGAAAGGGATTGGAAGCCACAGCCCCAGAGCCTGTAACAGAGCCGAGTTAGGGGTTGTGATAGATGCCTAGGATATTTGCTGGCTTCCTCTGCAGAGGATCGAACCTATTGTGGAGGATGTGGCTCAGGAAGCACATCATGACTGAAAATGTGGAAGACTCAAGGTCCACTCAGAACCATCAGACCATCCCAGAACTTTCCCCAATACTGTTGGCTTAAAAAAAAAAAAAAAAAAAAAAAAAATCAGCAACCCTGAAAACAACACTAAATTCTCTTCCCCCACAAGCCGTATTTCTTGAACAGGATTTCCCTTTCTGAAGGGAGAAAAAAACCTGAACTGACTCAAAAGCTCCTAAGCATTTAGGTCTGCTAAGAATTTGAACAGCAAGAGGAAAAGGACATGGCGATCTAATGCCTAAGTCTATAGTTCCCACCTTCCCCTCCTGGCAAGACCCTAGGTCATATTCTGGCTCTTGGTCATTTGGAAGAGTAAACTCAACTGGTCTCAACATGGCACAACCCTCGAACCTCAGGTCCTATGCTATTAACACTGGTAAATAGACTGATGTCTTAGGAAAAACATTTCCAACCATATAAAAAGAAAAAAATAAATATGAAAGGAAATCTATTCCAAACAACAACAAAAATACACCAACAATACAAAATCTGAATTTTTACTGTAAGAAATTAACTGTAAGAAAACTATGTGTTTCACTTAAGCAACATTAGGTTTAAGAAATCCGATTTCTTAATAACATCAGTTTAATTGCAACTGCATTTCTGTGCTTAGAGCACTCAGTGACAGAAAAGCCTAGGTATCTATGCCAGAGAAATGTGACATTATGTACTAAGCTTCCTCCTTGTGTGGAAGACAAGAAAAGTATAGTTTTTGGGGTGGAAGGGATATTTAAGCACAACTAATAAGGACAGGATTTGAACAAAGTCCTTTAACCACAAACACTTCAGTCAAGCTTGCCCTATCCCCATGCTTTCCTACATCTGATTTATAGGACCACAGTTTAGGTCAAGAGTAATGGGATGGGGGAGGCGATAGGTAGTACAATGGACAGGGTAACTGTATAATTTATTATCCAAACAGGAGCACTTTGGGATTTTCCAAGCCAATCAGTTCCTACAGGGTACGCTAATAACAGACACCTCTTCAAAGCACCGCTCCACCTCACTATGTGACCTTGGACAAGCCACTTACTGTCCTGGGGTCTTGATTTCTTCATCTGTGTAATCAGAGAGGTGAGCTGAATAATCTCTTTTAGGCTCTTCCACCTTTATGGCCCCCAATTTCCCAAAAACCCCCAAGCCCCCATCAAATTACATACCTTAGTCATGTCAACAGTATCAGGAACAACGAACATTCCTGGAGGAGGCTCCTTATAAATGGACATGATATCCCTGTATAACACCAAGAGGAGGTGGGGGAAGGAGTGAGGAAGAGGGGGGAAGGGGGAATCCCTTGAGCAGGACAGTTGTTATCACCTCAATGAGGCCAAGGTTTGAGAAAGTGGTGCTTGGTACCACAAGTGTTTGTACTGTCTTGTTGGCTGAGAAATCCCAGCTGAGTACTTGTCAGGCAGGCAGAGAGCAAATTATTATCAAAAGGGCATTGTTTCCTCAGGGGGAGGGGAGGGAGAGGGGGAAAAAAAGAGCTCCCAATGGCATCAAATGTCACCCTAGAAAAGCCACTTTCCACTTACTCTCACTTCCTCCCACATGGCAGTTCATTCACTCCCCACCTCCATGATTCCCAGGTACTACGGCTGAATGCTAAATGAAGACTTTTTAGTAACTGGAAAGGCATAGTCAACTCCACTAAAAAATTAATTCTATCAACTATACAGTGGACCCTTGTTGGTAAGGGGATTGTATGAAGCAAGCCAGCCAACAGGGAGTAAGACTATCATGGTGGTCTTCTTGCCCGGGGGACTAAGGGCAGAGATCTCTTCAGGTTGGAGAGGGACCCTCGGAAATGCGGAGAATATCCCATATGGAAGATGACACGTGGATTTCTATAGGAGATGAGAGGACTTCTGAGTCATATCTCACCAACTGGAATGGATCAGTTGAGAGCAAGGGGCTAAGAACATTCTAGGTGGGGAAAAGTCTAGGGACTTGCTAGGGTGGGTAGGGACATAAAGAGGGCAAATAGGGGACAGAGCAGAGAAAAGAAGTATTGGCCAAACTCAAAAGGTATGTCAGAACTGGATGACTGAGACTGTTGAAAGAGGAAGAGTTGAATGCAGAGTTTCAGTGAGAGATGGCAATCCCTCCAGAGTTGACCTCCTGTGTCAGGCACTGTGCCAGGTACTTTACACACATTGTATTAATTTTTATTACAACCTTGAAAAGTAGAGAGACATCTGAAGGTACGTGGAACATGAGGGATAAGAACTAAATGAAGATGCTTGTGATGGGGGCATGGAGAGAAGTCTGCTAATCAGGGAACAGGTTTCAAGATTAAAAGCAGCTAAAGAGCACTGCCCTTTTCTTATGCGATAGGTACTATTCTATGTGCTTTTGCAAAACATTATCTACTAAATGATAAGATCTAAGATCAGTCACCCAAGAAATAAGCACAGAAAGGACTTAGGCCTTTGTTCCTATATTTGAATTGAGTACATTTGCTTCAGTAAAAGTAAAACAGATGACCCGGGCGAGGGAGGAAGGGAAAATACAAGAAAGAAGGTCCTGAGTGGGATATTACAATCCAGAGTGGCACTGGGGAAGTGGGTGAGGTAGCTTGTGTTTCTGGAAGAGGTGTAAAAGTGGACAGCTTTGGGATACTGGAAAAGGGGTTCAAGGAAAGATTCGGGTGAGGGAAACAATCTAGACCTGGCCAAAGGACTATGTGGAGGGAATCTGAGGAAAAGGGAGGATAAAAAGGCTGGCTGGCTCGAGTCAGAGGCAGGCAAGGCAAGCTGAGTGTGTCGGTGTTAGGAACCGGGCTCCAGGGGAGAAGAGAAGGGGGACCGATGGGTGGGGCCTGCGGGCAGCATCTAGCAAGGTTGGGTGGGGAAGGGGAAATAGGGGCGGCGCCGAAGGCGGGAGGGGGTGTTACTGAAGCGCGACAGGGTCAGGTTTCGACCGGGAGGTGGGAGGTGTGGGGGAGGGTGGCCGGAATGGAGACGGAGGGCTCACGGGAGGTTGTCGAGGGGCGGGGTCGGATCTGGGCACATGAGGCGGGGGTTGGTGCTAGTGGGGCTAGGGGTGGGGGGAGAAGGGGCTTGGATCCCGACACCCGGAGCTGGCAAGATTTGAGCCGTAGAGGTGGGCCGCCGCGAGGGCAGCGCAGCGGGAGGGGGGTGAGTTGTAGTGGAAGAGGGTGGGGGCGGGGAAGGTCGAGCCCCGGAGCTCGGGGCTGGGGGAGGAAAAACCCCGGCTCACCGCTTGATCCGGAGTAGACACTGCGGCGCGGTGCGCTCGCCGTCCCAATCGGAGCTGAGCGTGGGGTCCCAGTGGCTAAGCAGCGCGGCCCCGTGGGCAGCGGCCGAGGGCGGGAGCCCGGGCAGCGGAGCCAGGCCGCTCCCCGGGCCCCCAGCCCCGCCCGCTGCCGCCGCCGCCGCCCATACATCCGGCAGGAAAGGCGGCCCGAACCCGCCACCGCTGCCGCTAACGCCAACAACACCAGCAACGCCGCTCGCCCCGGGGCCCGCCGCCCCGGCGCCCGCCGTCGCCGCCTCCTCAGTCGGACTCTCCGCCATCGCTGCTTCGCTTCCGGGACTACTCGGCAGCACGTCCGCCGACCAGAGCGGCCGCTGCTCCCGCCCGCTCCCGCACCACCGAGAGCCGGGCCAGAGTGTCCCCACCCTCCGCTTCCACAGCCCAGAAGGCGCTGGCTCCGCCCATCCCCGCCCCAACCAGCGAGAGGCGCTCTGCAAGAGCGTCCACCTACGGTCCTCCAAGACGGGAGGGGTGGGAACTAGCAAGCCGCGACGGTTCTGTTTCCGCGTGGGTCCTGCGCTGTGCGGGAGGATCGGAGAGCCCAATTCCATGAAATAGTTTATTTTCAAGTGTTGAAAGAGGAGAAGAAAGAGGGAAGTGGGAGAGGAAGGGCCATATCATTCCCGGTTAACAGCGGCGACCCTCAGACGTGTCCATGGTTAGGAGGGGATCCGGCTTCCTCGTGGGAAGCTCAGTAGAGGAGTTGACTGACTTGCTTTTCTTAAAAAGGCTCTGCGATTGATCTTCCCTGCATCCTTATCCAGCCAGGGCAGGATCACCCCCTGCTTGCAACAGGACCAGAAAGGACTCAACCTGCGAATGAAAAGCTACCTACTGAATGCCAGACAATGTTGCTAGTCGTTGCCATAGGGATCATGAAACTGAACTAGAGAAACTTGGTGAAAGGAAGAAAAATCAGGCCTCCTGACTCCACTTAGTACTTTTCCCTCCCACAAATCTGGGAATGTACAGGAATCAAGGGGCTGTGAGTGTAAACCCTGAGGATACTTTAGGTCTTTCCTGAGATGTTTAAAGTGAAAAATAACTGGCCAGGTGTGGTAGCTCACGCCTGTAATCCCAGCACTATGGGAGGCCAAGGCAGGCGGATCACGAGGTCAGGAGTTCGAGACCAGCCTGACCAAACCCCCTCACTACTAAAAATAAAAAAATCAGCCAGGCGTGGTGGCGGGCGCCTGTAGTCCCAGCTACTTAGGACGCTGAGACAAGAGAATTGCTTGAACTCCCGAGGCGGAGGTTGCAGAAGCCGAGATCGTGCCACTGCACTCCAGTCTGGGCGGCAGAACAAGACTCCATCTCAAAAAAAAAAAAAAAAAAAATAGTCTGGCTTTTAGAACTTTTTTTTTTTTTTTTTTTTTTTTTTAGAGGGAGTCTTACTCTGTCACCCAAGCTGCTGTAGTATCAAGGTATCAACCCTTGATACCTGTTGCCTATATCCTCTCTCTCTCTGTCTCTCTTTTTTTTTTCCTTTGAGAGGGATTCTTGCTCTGTCACCCAAACTAGAGTGCAGTGGCCCGATCTCGGCTCATTGCAACCCTGCCTCCCAGGTTCAAGTGATTCTCGTGCTTCAGCCTACTGAGTAGTTGTGAGTACAGGCGTGGGCCACCATGCCCAGCTGATTTTTGTATTTTTTTTTTTTTTGAGGCGGAGTTTCGCTCTCGTTACCCAGGCTGCAGGCTGGAGTGCAATGGCGCGATCTCGGCTCACCGCAACCTCTGCCTCCTGGGTTCAGGCAATTCTCCTGCCTCAGCCTCCTGAGTAGCTGGGATTACAGGCACACGCCACCATGCCCAGCTGATTTTTTGTATTTTTAGTAGAGACGGGGTTTCACCATGTCGACCAGGATGGTCTCGAACTCTCGACCTCGTGATCCACCCGCCTCGGCCTCCCAAAGTGCTGGGATTACAGGCTTGAGCCACCGCGCCCGGCGCGATTTTTGTATTTTTAATAGAGACGGAGTTTCACCATGTTGACTAGGCAGGTCTCCAACTCCTGATCTTAGGTGATCCACCCGCCTTAGCCTCCACTGGGATGACAGGCGTGAGCCACCCTCACACGCGCTTAATACACATGTGCACACACTGTGCACACCCTTGCTCTAGACCATGTATTTTCTGTGAATCCAACACAGGGCTTGGCACAGCTTAGGCACAGCATGAAGTAAAATGCATCAATATGGCCGGGCGTGGTGGCTCACGCCTGTAATCCAAGCACTTTGGAGGCCAAGGCAGGTGGAGTTCAAGACCAGCCTAACCAACATGGTGAAACCTCGACTATATAAAAAAAAAAAAGGCCGGGCGCGGTGGCTCAAGCCTGTAATCCCAGCACTTTGGGAGGCCGAGGTGGGTGGATCACGAGGTCAAGAGATCGAGATCATCCAGGCCAACATGGTGAAACCCCGTCTCTACTAAAAATACAAAAAATTAGCTGGGCATGGTGGCGCACGCCTGTAATCCCAGCTACTCAGGAGGCTGAGGCAGGAGAATTGCCTGAACCCAGGAGGCGGAGGTTGCGGTGAGCCGAGATCGCGCCATTGCACTCCAGCCTGGGTAACAAGAGCGAAACTCCGTCTCAAAAAAAAAAAAAAAAAAAAAAAAAAAAAAGAGCCGGGCGTGTGGCTCACGCCTGTAATCCCAGCACTTTGGGAGGCCGAGGCGGGTGGATCACAAGGTTAAGAGATTGAGACCATCCTGGTCAACACGGTGAAACCCCGTCTCTACTAAAAATACAAAAAATTAGCTGGGCATGGTGGCATGTGACTGTAATCCCAGCTACTCCAGAGGCTGAGGCAGGAGAATTGCCTGAACCCAGGAGGCGGAGGTTGCGGTGAGCCGAGATCGCGCCATTGCACTCCAGCCTGGGTGACAACAGCGAAACTCCGTCTCAAAAAAAAAAGAAGAAAAAAAAAGAATCAATACAGAATTTTATGCAGATTTTGTGTTTTGTTGGTATAGTGTTTTATCAGCATAATAAAGATGCCAGAACATCTATAAAAGGACATACAAGAACTGGCGCGATGGCTCATGCCTGTAATCCCAGCACTCTGGGAGGCTGAGATGGGTGGATTACCTGAGGTTAGGAGTTCAAGACCAGCCTAGCCAACATGATGAAACCTCGTCTCTACTAAAAATACAAAAATTAGCTGGTCATGGTGGCAGGCACCTGTAATCCCAATTACTCAGGAGGCTGAGGCAGGAGACTTGCTTGAACCCGGGAGGCAAGACTCCCATCTCAAAAAAAAGAATACGCAAAAAACCATTAACAGTGGTTGCCTCTGAATGGTCTGGTTGCTGACAGGGCTGGCCAAGGGAACTATACCTTCCTGTACATTTTGAATGTTGTGCTGTACATCTGTTGCCTATTCTAAAACTTTATGTTTTATTCATTGTAAAAGGATTCCAGGCTGGGTGTGGTGGCTCATGCCTGTATCCCAGCATTTTGAGAGACTGAGGTGGGTGGATCACAAGGTCAGGTGTTGGAGACCAGTCTGACCAACATAGTGAAACCCTGTCTCTACTAAAAATACAAAAATTAGCCGGGCATGGTGGCAGGCACCTGTAATCCCAATTACTCAGGAGTCTGAGGCAGGAGAATCACTTGAACCCGGGAGGTGGAGGTTGTAGTGAGCCGAAACAGTGCTACTGCACTCCAGCCTGGGCAACAGAGCAAGACTCTGTCTCAAAAATAAATAAATAAACAAAACCCAAAAACTAGCCGGGCATGGTGGTGAGCACCTGTAATCCCAGCTACTCGTGAGGCTGAGGCAGGAGCATTGCTTGAGCCTGGGAGGTGGAGGTTGCAAGGATCGAGCCATTGCAGTCCAGGCTGGGTGACAAAGTGAGACTCCATTTCAAAAAAAAAAAAGGGATTCCAGAATTTTGCATGAGTATTATTTATTCAGTAAGGTGGTCAAAGGTCAGTTTGATGGGTAACCTCATACAAAGAAAAAACTTTGGCCGGGCGTGGTGGCTCAAGCCTGTAATCCCAGCACTTTGGGAGGCCAAGGTGGGTGGACCACGAGGTCAAGAGATCAAGACCATCCTGGTCAACATGGTGAAACCCCGTCTCTACTAAAAATACAAAAAATTAGCTGGGCATGGTGGCGCGTGCCTATAATCCCAGCTATTCAGTAGGCTGAGGCAGGAGAATTGCCTGAACCCAGGAGGCGGAGGTTGCAGTGAGCCGAGATTGCGCCATTGTACTCCAGCCTGGGTAACAAGAGCAAAACTCTGTCTCAAAAATAAAAAAACTTTTCCATAGCTCCTCCATAGCTACAGAATGCAGAGGCCCAGAGATAGCCCACTGGGTGAGGGGTTCCTCAGTGTATCTCACCACTGGACCATTATTTTCAAGTACAAGGTCTGGTAGTGATGGGGCAATGAACAGAAAACTCTTAGCTTTGATTCAGATGGAGGTTCAGGTTTTTAATCTGCATCTTTTACCTTCTTTGAAGCCTATTTTTGCAGCCCATATTTTGCAATATAGAATAGTGAAAATTCCTACCTCTCAAGGTTTCCCTGAGGATTAAGTGTGACAAAGTTCCAGAAGCTTTTGTAAAATGGCAAGGACTGTACAAATAATTGCCACCTCACCTGCCAGTATACCTTTTCCCCTCTAGGCTTTTGCCCATTTTCTCTGCTTTGAATACTCTTTATCTCTACAGTACCATGGGAAATCCTAGTTGTTTAACCTCTATGAACCTCTTTAAAGCAGCAAAACTGAAAATAATAGTAGCTACTAAGAGATCATGTGATAATGAATGTACGCAATGCCTGGTCACTGGAAATGTTCAATGATTATTAACTCTT